GGCACGCGCCACCATGCCCAGCTGATTTTTTTGTATTTTTAGTAGAGACGGGGTTTCACCATGTCGACCAGGATGGTCTCGAACTCTCGACCTCGTGATCCACCCGCCTCGGCCTCTCAAAGTGCTGGGATTACAGGCTTGAGCCACTGCGCCCAGCTCACAAAGAGCTCTTAACACAGTGCCTGGCCCAAAGAAAACAAACAAACACACACAAAGTTGAGTGTGATTATTTTTACTGCTGTATCATCCAGCCACTTCCTGTTTCACAGAAATGTCAAGGTGATTCACACTGCAATGAAAACCAAAAAAAAAAAATAATAATAATAATAATAGCTGACCCCTTTTCAGTGCCTCTGAGTGTGAAAACACAAATGACGTAAGTTATGTTTTTCAGAGGCACAGCAATGTGGCATAGGCCACTTGTTGCCATCCACCAAATGAGCCAGCCCAGGGGGAGCTGTAATTGAGCTGTGTGACTGAGCTTGGCGTGCCCTATCACCCAAGAAAGAGGCTAATTACAGCCATGTCATCAGTGCCACAAGGAGGGACAAATGTTGGACTGGATCACATGAAGGTGTGATTTTTTTCTCTTCTTTTTAGACACAATCTCGCTCTATCGCCCAGGTTGGAGTGCAGTGGCAGGATCTCTGCTCTCTGCAACCTCTGCCTCCCAGGTTCAAGCAATTCTCCTGTCTCAGCCTCTAGAGTAGCTGGAACTGCAGGCTCACACCACCATGCCTGGCTAATTTTTGTATATTTAGTAGAGATAGGGGTTTCACCAATTTGGCCAGGCCAGTCTTGAACTCCTGACCTCAAGTAATCTGCCCATCTCAGCCTCCCAAAGTGCTGGGATTACAGGCATGAGCTACCAAGGCTGGCTGAAGGTATGGTACGTTCTGTCAGCAAAGGAAGGGTCTGAGAGAGCCTAAGCCTGCTGCTCCACAGACACTGGCCTGTTCACTGTAACTGCTGTGAATATTTACCACCAACACTTGTGAGCACCTTCTGTGTCAAGGACTGTGAAGCATCTGAGATTTTACCCAACTTGCAAGCTAACAAGGTAGCCCATCAGGTTCATGGATGCTGGCAGAATACCTAAGAATCCTTCACAGAGACTTTATCACTATGCAGCAAACAGCATGAGCACCAGCTTATTTCCATCAGTTCCTGTTGACCCTAAGTCCCATGCTGATAGGTTCAGGTAGATGCGGGCACACAGAGTGAATTGCATTGTGGGAGAGGACCCTGAGCTTAGGAAACTCAAAGCCAGTAAGCATGCCTGTCCTCTGCTCTGAAGGGAGACACTATCTCCATCTTCCATGGCTATTCCCTAGATAAACATCTTTGAAGCTGGGTATGGTGGTTCATGCCTGTAATCCTAGCACTTTGGGAGGCTGAGGCAGGCAGATCATCTGAAGTTGGGAGCTTGAGACCAGCCTGGGCACCATGGTGAAACCCTGTCTGTACTAGAAATACAAAAAAAAAAAACAACACAACAAACAAAATTAGCCAGGTGTGGCAGTGCACGCCTGCAATCCCAGCTACTCGGGAGGGTGAGGCACGAGAATCACTTGAACCTGGAAGGTGGAGGTTGCAGTGAGCTGAGATTGCGCCACTGCACTCCAGCCAGGAGATTAGGGTGATATTTGTTCCCCCAGCGCCCTCCCTGCAGGCTGCAGGGGGCCAGGCACTGCGAGTCTCCGCTGTAGGCCACAGCTCGTGGGCAGCCCTCCCTGGTTATGCCAATGGAGCAGTGTGCACTGGAGTGATGTCCCTCAGTCGCTAGCCCCAGTGGTTTCAGCTATTTCCTACGGAGGCCCTGAGAGTTGAAGGAATTTGGTTGGGCATCATTTGAGTCAGGCATCACTACTGGACTGAACTCTTTCATTGCTCCCTGTCACTGAGACCCCTCCGCAGACCCTGAAAAAGGGCTGTCATCCCCCTATCCTACTGGCAGCAGCTTTAGACACCCAGGGCCACACCCTCCTCCTGGCTCTTCCCCACCACACTCCTGGTTTTCCTCTCTGCTCCCTCCAGCTGCTCTTTCTGGTCCTTGGCCTGAGTCCGCCTCCTCTCCCTGCCTGACTCCACCTCCCCTGCCTGACCTGGGAATGGTGACCTCCCTGGGGCACCCTGGGCCCTCTTCTCTCCATAGTAAGCCCACCCTTTCCCACTGTCGTAGATGCCCCCTGTATAACCCCAAGCCTCTGTGTCCAGGCCAGACGTCCTGTCTGAGCTGCAGACTCCCGAGTTCGGGAGCCTCCACTTGGATGACTCACAAGCATGTCAAACTCAGGAGGGCTGGAATGGAGCTGTGGACCTTGCCCTGTGTTTCCAGCTCCTCTGCCTCCCCTCTTCCTCACCCATCCAGGCATCAGGCCAGGAAGTGGGGGCCATTCATGCCACCCGCCTCCCCAGCACCCCCACTTCACCCAGTCTTTACATCTCACCTCCCAAATACATCTCCCCAGGGCCAAGTGAGATCTGCTCTCCCGGGATGAAGGCAGGGCGCCCTGACACAGTCCCACTGCAATGAATATATGGGGGATAATACCCCATGCAAGGCTGTCATGAGGAGTAAATTGAAGAGATTAAGTGGGAGGACTCCAATTTAAGGGTCTTTGTTAAGTGCCAGGCAGGATAGACAATTGAGTGGACGTCAGCCATGATGGTAACATAGCTGGTGCACTGAAGAATTCGGACTAGGGCTGGGATCTGGAGCTGGTAATAACCTGGGGGTCTGTGCATGCAGGCTGGAGTCCAAGAGATGGTTCAGAGACAGTTCCTCTAGTCAGCCTAAGGCTGGGTGCTATGGCTCACCACTGTAATCCCAGCACTTCTGGAAGCTGAGGTGGGAGGGTCGCTTCAGTCTAGGAGTTGGAGACCAGCCTGGGCAACATGGCAAAACCCCATCACTACAAAAAAATACAATCAAAACAAAACAAATAAAAAAAAACCGGTGGCTCTAGTCAGCCAGATAGAAACGACTTGGGGTACAGGCTCTAAGGTACGCAGCTGCCCAGGAGGCTGGCTGGTAGATGGAGATGTGAACGAGGCACAGGGCTCTCTAGGTGAGCAGGAGGCAGCAAAAATGACACTTCCAGGGGGTCTACGTGGGAGGAAGATGGGGCCAGGAGGAGGGCACTTCAGGTCAGATTGAGGGAGCATCTGCCATCCTGAGGAGACTGCTGATGTAATTATGAAAGTCCATGTCCTAGCTCTTTTAACCCCTGGTGTACAACCTCGAGCCCCTGCAGACTGCACATATGAGGACCCCTGCCTGCCCTGTCTGGCTTCTCTGAACCTAATAAAGGAGAGGATGCATATGGAAAAAGAATATAGAACAGAGAGAGAGAAAAAAAGCACCAAGGTCCATGTTCAGAGAGCCCTGGTAATTTTAACTTGCAACTCACCCGAGAAGAACTTAATGGTTGCAAGAGTATGTAAGAAGCCCCCACCTGACCCTGCCCAGCACGCAGCACCCAAGGGAGGCTGGAACCTGAATGCGCGTGCCCAGTACAGCGCTATTCAGTCCGCAGGCTTTTTGAGGGTTTCAACGTCAAAGAAAGGTCGGCTTCAGCAATTGAATTGAATACAGCAATGTATTCAAATAACTTCCCACATCCCCATCCCAAAGTAACAAGGGTTTTGACCATTTTAATCTTTGACAAACTTATGCATATGACAGTTCAGTGTTATTTTAATTTGCATATCACTAATAGTTAATAAATCTGAGCATCTTTTGAAACGTTACTGACCATCTAAATTTTATCTTCCAAAATTGCCTATTCATATCCTTTGCTCATCGTCCATTGAGTTGTCTTCTAAACAAATTATAAAAGCTATTTCCATATTATAGATACAAATTTGTTGTATCTGGCGTCTCTGTTACATATTTTCATCTTCTGAATTTTCGGTAGACTATTACGTTATCTTTTGCGACATAAATTTTAACTTTCATATAGCCAAATTCTTTTCTTCTTTGTCTAGTTTCTAGATTTATTGTTTAATTAATAGGGTCCCTTAGAGGATGGTTCCTACAAAAAATAAATAAATAAATAAAAAATGAAGGCCGGGCGCGGTGGCTCAAGCCTGTAATCCCAGCACTTTGGGAGGCCGAGGCGGGTGGATCACAAGGTCGAGAGATCGAGACCATCCTGGTCAACATGGTGAAACCCCGTCTCTACTAAAGATACAAAAAATTAGCTGGGCATGGTGGCACGTGCCTGTAATCCCAGCTACTCAGGAGGCTGAGGCAGGAGAATTGCCTGAACCCAGGAGGCGGAGGTTGCGGTGAGCCGAGATCGCGCCATTGCACTCCAGCCTGGGTAACAAGGGCGAAACTCCGTCTCAAAAAAAAAAAATAAATAAAAAATAAAAAAATAAAAAAATAAAAAATGAAAGGTCGGCTTCGGGGCAAGACCTTGCCTCAGTCCCAGGCCTCGGGAGGCAGCGGGGAGACAGACTGGGACACCGAGCATGCACACGGGGAGGGGTCTTGAAACAGGCGGAAAGCGACAATGCTCCCCCCCGGGCCGGGTTTGCCAGGCGAAGTGAGAAGCACAGAGGCCTGAGGAAGCTCCAAGCGCGCGCAAAGGGCCGGTCGCTGTGATGACTGGGGTGGTGACGGTTGTTGTGAGGACGCTGCTGCCCCGCCTGTGCCGAAAGAGAAACCCCAGGGGAGGCGGAGGCCAGCGAGGACCGGCGGTCCCCTTCATTCACGACGGACAGAAAGGGCGACCCCCCCAAAGCCACTTCCAGATCTTGAGACCGGAGCAGAGTTACCACAGAGACGCCCGTCCCGAGGCCCCGCGCGTCGGAAGTTTCAGTCCCCTGGATTCTGGCTGACGAAGCGTCCCCAAGGCCTGTTCTCCGCAGCAGCCGACCCGCCCCACTCCGGACACAGCGAGGTCTGGGGACCACGCCGACGCGTCATTTCCGTCGTGATCCGCGGCCGCTATGGAAGGGGCGGAGCCGCAGCGGAGGGCGCTCCGCTTAGACGTCATTTCCGGGGAGCCCAGCGGCGGCCACGGCAACATGGCCCTGAACGGCGCTGGTGAGGACTTGGGCGTCAGGGGCTTGTGGCTACGGGTACGGGAGGCAGCCCCCTGCGGCAAGATCCCAGTCTCTGTGCCTCTCTTCCCCAGAAGTCGACGACTTCTCCTGGGAACCCCCAACTGAGGCGGAGACGAAGGTGCTGCAGGCGCGACGGGAGCGGCAAGATCGCATCTCCCGGCTCATGGGCGACTATCTGCTGCGCGGTTACCGCATGCTGGGCGAGACGTGCGCGGACTGCGGGGTGAGGCGAGACCCCGGAGAGTGACAGGGGATGGGGCCGCGGGCCAGGCCATTCAGCCCTTCCTCGGCCCTCCGCTCTGGACCTCATCGCCGCGTCTCATTCAGGCGCCTTGTGCCTTTTGGTCCGTAGACGATCCTCCTCCAAGACAAACAGCGGAAAATCTACTGCGTTGCTTGTCAAGAACTCGACTCAGACGTGGATAAAGATAATCCCGGTGAGGGTAAAAAATAATCCGGGCGAGATGCGGGGTGTATGATTAGCGGAGAAGCGTGATGAGTGGTGATAGAGGCCCGAGAACACTAGGCCTGGGAGGTGACAGTGGAGTCTCTGGGTGGGGCAGAGGTAAAATGTTTTCTCCTTTAGGCTCTAAAGAGGACCATTCACTCAGTAAGAGTAGCAAGCTCCTTCTGTGTGCCAGCCACTGCGCGAGAGTCTGAGCTCAGTCAGAACCAGTACTGATGGAGAGTTGAAGCTAGGGCCGAAATGTGATACATAGTAGAAAGTGGATAAGTTGCCTTGTAGAGGGACAGGGAAAACACCTCAAGCACAGAAAGAGCAGAGCAGAAAAGGCGATGGCTCAGGGCTGAGGTGGGCCAGGCATCCTGACCATTCTACTCACTTCTCTTTTTAGCTCTGAATGCCCAGGCTGCCCTCTCCCAAGCTCGGGAGCACCAGCTGGCCTCAGCCTCAGAGGTCCCCTTGGGCTCTCGACCTGCGCCCCAGCCCCCAGTACCTCGCCCGGAGCACTGTGAGGGAGCTGCAGCAGGGCTCAAGGCGGCCCAGGGACCACCCCCTCCTGCTGTGCCTCCAAATGCAGATGTCATGGCCTGCACACAGACAGCCCTCTTGCAGAAGCTGACCTGGGCCTCTGCTGAACTGGGCGCTAGCACCTCCCTGGAGACTAGCATCCAGCTGTGTGGCCTTATCCGGGCGTGTGCGGAGGCCCTGCGCAGCTTGCAGCAGCTGCAGCACTGATAGTAGCCCCTGAGAAAAACCCTCTAGAAAAACAGCTGTTCCTCTGTGTGGTTTGTTCTTTTCCTGGTTCTGAGTGTGCATGCCCGCCCCAGCTCCACTCAGTTTTTTCGACTTTTGGCCTCTCACCTCTCCACTGCCTGCTCTCCTTGACGCCCTGAGATGAGTTGAGCCTGTTTCTGCTCAGTTTCCCCAGTCAGGATGAGGGATTAGCCAGAGGACTATGTGACGCCCCTTTTCTCAGGAAGAGGACATAGCCTTTTCAAAGGGCTGGACCCTACCTTTGTCTCTGGCAGCACCTCTGCAACCTCTTCCGCCATCCGGTGCCCATTCCCCACCTGGAAGTGAGATTTTGGGTTCCAATTCTCTTGATAGATTCCTCTCCTTCCCCTGAGCATTCTGACCCTATCACCCTATCCCAGCCATGCCCACCCCAGGTACTCAGACACCGACCGACAGGAGTTTGTGGTGACCCCAGCGTCAGGGGGCACGTTAGGCACCAAGTGTGGACTTGCCGGTCTCCTGACTCCACTGTTAGATCATTTTCCTTGGGAGGGTAATGGGCCGAACTCGGGGTCGGGGGGTGGGCCGGGGCGCGGCAGGGAGACGAGGCAGCAAAAAGAACCGCGAAGGAGCCACGCCTGCCCCTTTTGGCCTTTCCCCGCTTCCGCCTCCCTTTTCCATCTCCTCTTGGGTGGGTACCCCGCTGCCTTTCCTCGGCTTTGCGCGACGTGGTCCCACAGCTGTTGCCTTTTTAAGAGAGGCCCGGCCCATGCGGAGGGGGTGGGGCAGAGGCGGAGTCTGAGGAGCTTGGGAAGGAACAATGCGCGGCCTGCGGGCGGCGGCTGGGCTCCAGCTGGGCCGCGGGGTGCGGGGCCTGCGGGCGGCGGCCCGGGCAGAGCGTTGAAAGGAAGAAGGTGGCATCGCCGGCCCGGCCATGAACGGGCTGCCCTCGGCCGAGGCGTCAAGCGGCGCGGGCTGCGCCCTGGCCGGGCTTCCACCGCTGCCGCGCGGCCTCAGCGGCCTCCTTAACGCCAGCGGGGGCTCGTGGCGGGAGCTGGAGCGCATCTACAGCCAGCGCAGCCGCATCCACGACGAGCTGAGCCGCGCCGCCCGCGCCCCGGACGGGCCCCGCCACGCCGCCGGCGCCGCCAACGCGGGACCCGCAGCCGGCCCTCGTCGTCCTGTCAACCTCGACTCGGCACTGGCCGCGCTGCGCAAGGAGATGGTGAGTGGGTGGGCGCTGGACCAGCGGGGCGAGGGGCTGCCGCGGAGCGCAGAAACGCAGACGGGCTGCCTGGGTCTCAGAGAACTTGCAGGCACCGGTTGGGTTCCAAGGGTTATGGTAACGATAATTAGTGATAGTTACCAATTATGGCAATAGTTACCCTATATTATCAGACGTTTTGCTGATGTTACTTCATTTCATCCTGCTAAATGCATGATAACCCGATTTTTTTAGGTGAGGGTCAGGACTTGCCTAAAGTTGCACAGCTTGCAGGTGGTGCCTGATGTCCACAAAAACTTTGTTTAGGAAGGTGCTGGGAAGATGGGCCCACGATTCCAGGGTATGGGGCTGGGCTGGGGTGGCCTGGACCCCAACTCCAGCCCACCCTCAGTTGTCTGCAGGTGGGGCTGCGGCAGTTGGACATGTCCCTGTTGTGCCAGCTGTGGGGCCTGTACGAATCAATCCAGGACTACAAACACCTGTGCCAAGACCTGAGCTTCTGCCAGGACCTGTCATCATCCCTCCATTCGGACAGCTCCTACCCACCTGATGCGGGCCTGTCTGACGACGATGAGCCTCCTGATGCCAGCCTGCCCCCTGACCCACCACCCCTCACTGTGCCCCAGACGCACAATGCCCGTGACCAGTGGCTTCAGGATGCCTTTCACATCAGCCTCTGAAGAGCTGGGGGGCAGGTGGGCATGCACCCATGCAAAAGGCTCAGAAACCCCCTCGGCAAGCCCTCAGACTGCAGAGCGTGCACCTCCCCACACCGCCTCACCTCACAGGAGGGCCAGGCATGTATCCCTCAGAGGCGAAACTGCCAAACCCCTTCTCCTGTCTTGGGTTGGCTGGCACTGGGGCGGGCACCTAGAGTACAGCCTCTGCCCATGGCACTGGGCCTCCACTTCTTCCACATATGTGCATCCCCAGCTTGGCCAACCCTCAGCCTTGCGGTGGGGCCCAAAGCATCTTCCCCTCTCCTTGGCGCCTCTGGGATTGGGATGAGTGCCTGACTCCCATCTCCTCACCTTTTGTTGCTATCGGCAGCTGCTGGCTCAGGGGCATCCCACCTCCGGGCTCCGGGTTCCTCTGTCCTGGAAGGGCTCCAGGACCCGTCCCTACACCCACCCACGGCCAGAAGGGCCAAGGCCCCATGCTGGATATTTATATTTAGGGGCCGGCCTCCTGGGCGCGTAGATAAATAAATACTCTCAGCGTCACTGTGCTCTGTCTGGCTGGCTCTGGGGCGAGAAGACCGCGGTGTTTTTGGCAGATGCGGCCCCGCACTCTGCCGCCAGGTGGCGCCCGAGACCCCCTCCCTCCGCGAGTGAAGGCCCTGCCGTCCTGCCCGGGCGGGGCTGGGGGCGCTCTGGCTGGCTGAGCCTGGCTCCGCCGCTGAGTGACTGCGGTCGAGTCACTTCCCCTCTCGCCGGGGCCTTGCAGCGCCCCGCCCCGCCCCCTCGGGGTTCGCTTCGGACTTTCCCTGCCGGCAGGGAAGAAGGAGCCGCCCACCTTGAGGAGGGAAACTTTCCACCCCGCGCGGGGCGGGGTCGGGGCGGCGCAGGAAATGGGTGGCTGGAGTCTGCGAGGCAAGGGGCCCCGGGTGGGGGGGGGGGCGGGGAGGCGCCTTCTGGGATGGCCTAGAAGCTCAGGCCCTGCAGATGGAAGGGAGGGGCAGCGACACAGACGAAGGAGAGTGAAGTCTCGGCACCACGGGCCTTCCCGGAGGCCAAGGCATGAGACTCCGCCGCGGTGGAGGGTGATTGGGGTCCCAGGCACCCTTAATCCCCGCTCAGACTATGAAGATCGCCGGCTCTCCGCACAGCACTAGCGGCCTTTACAGTTGTCTGTAAAAGGTTTTTATTAGGAAATCGAGGACTCACACAGCGGAGACTGGGAACCAAACTTAGGTGTCAGGCCCACCGGAAAAAGCCTGCACGTTCAGAGACGGTGGGTACTCAGCCCCTCGCGCGTGCACACTGCACCCCACAACCTCCTGAAAAGAGGTGAAGCCGCACACCGAGGCGTGCGGACGAGCAGTGCATCCCCGCGCCCTGCTGCAGACTTGCCTCCTGGAGACACAGCCCAGCTGCAGTCCTGGCCCGCAGACATCCCTTTAAACCGAGTAGCAGTTGCGCACGGGGCTTCTGTCCATCCACACCTTGCAGAGCAGCGGAGAGGCAGCAAACACCTGTTGCCCCAGGGCAGCTGACACCTGCGGAGGCTCATTACTACTAGGGGAGAGTGAGTAGGAGATAAGGGCTCTAATCTAGGGGTTCACAGATCCGCTAACGCCCCAGGCAGGCTTTCCCGGGGAGAAAGAGTAAACATACACACAAAAACGACAGGTTTTCCCATCCATGATAGCTCATCCCTTTTAATGAGGCATGGCAAAATCAGCCAACTCCCCGCTAAATGCTTTCTGAGGTTTCATCCACTCAGTGATTCCATAAAAGGCCGATCTATAATTATCCCCATTTAACAGACGTTGAAACTGAGGCTCAGAGGGTTGGCGCTTTGCCCATGGTCACACTTGATTGGAGGTCAGTTGTGAATCTCCAGCTGCTCGTCGGGGGTTGGGATTATCTTCCCACTTGACAGCAGAGTCAGGTTCTGAGATTGCGGGAGGGGTACCCCCCCACACACACAGGTATGGCCACCGAGGTTAGTCCTGACTCTACACCTTTCTGCTCTGGTTAAGACGTGGGTGGCTGCACCCTGGAGTTGAGGAGAGCTGGTCCTCGTCCAGGTTCACAGTATGACTCTGAGCAAGTCCCTTCCCCTTTCTGGGTCTCAGTTTTCCTAGGCGGTGAAATGGGGCCAGCAATGCATACCTCCCAGGGCCGCGAGCAGGAAGGGAGGCGGCCCAGGCAGCTCTCTCTAGGGTGGCACCAAGTTGCCGGTTGCCCTCTCTCCGGGCCCAAGCGTCCCTCACCCGGCCAGCGGGGTCCACGCAGCCTCTGCGAGCAGCAAGCCGGCGCTGCGGTCAGGCGACACCCCCTCCACGCCCCCGCTCCCGCTCACACTCCCGGGTCACGACAAGAGGCCCCGGAAGCCGGGTCGCCCCGCCCCCACGCTCCTACCCCGGCCCCCGCCCCGCGCCGAAGCCCCGCCCGCCTTCCGACGGGGGTGCGGCTCCAGGAAACGGCGCGCTCGAAGCTCTGCGCTCCGCCACCCGACGCGCTCCAGACGACCCCGCCGACTCAGCCAGACCATCCGACGGGCCCCAGCGGCGGCAGCGGAGAGCGCGATCCCGGGTTGGAGCCTGGGACACCTCAGCACGGACGGGGCGGGCAGCGCAGACAGGCCATGGGGACCCGGGCCAGACCAGCGGAGGCGGGCCAGCGGGAGTCCCGGGCCTGAGAAGTGGGCAGCGGGGCAGCGGTGGCCATGACCTCGGTGTGGAAGCGCCTGCAGCGCGTGGGCAAGCGGGCAGCCAAGTTCCAGTTCGTGGCCTGTTACCACGAGCTGGTGTTGGAGTGCACCAAGAAATGGTGAGTGGCAGAAGGCCCGGGGTGGGTGGGGGGCCTTCTCCCTCCACCGCCTGGGACCCCATCCGGCCTTTGAACCTGAGAGGACTCTGCCCCCAAGCGCAGTGACCAAATGGGCCCCCACCTCAGCTTGGGCCCTGGTTCCATTCCCAGACTTGGAGATTCAGAAGCCCTTGCAACTTATGGGACCCCTGGAGTTGGGGGTATGGGCAGCCGTCCCTGCCTGGGGGTCAGGACTTTCAGGCCTGAGAGTCTGCCTGTGTCCACTCCCTCTGCTGTGGTCAGGGCTGCAGGAGGGAGGCCGCATGTCTTCTGCCAAAAGGGTGGTTCAGGGTGGCATGGAAAAGGGAGCACGTTTTGAGGTCTGCAGGTGGCCAGGGCTGGGACAGAAACCTCCCTGACCTTAGTCCCCCCACAACAGAGATGTTGCCCCTCCTCCCCTGCCATCTTGAGCCAGAAGAACCCCTCCAACTCCCGCCTCTTCAGCCAGAGTGTTGGGAGGCTGGAAACATCTCCACAATGTCCTTAAAAGGGGAAACTGAGAGCTGGGAGGAATGAGGAGGGAGGCGGGGGGCGGCTTAAAGGGGCCTGAGGACCTAGGAGTTGTGGGTCCAGGAGGAGAGGGCTGCAGAGGGCACAGTGGCTGGGTCAGGGGCGATGCACTTGAGGGTGCAGGCCCCAGCCTGGACTGCCAACAGACTCAGGGGCATCTCATTCACATGCCCCCACCCACAGCTGCTCAGGCCCCTGCGTCACACCCTAAATATACGTGCTCGCTGGTGTCAGCTTCCCTTGGCTGGATTAGGGCACAGCTGTGGGGGCCTCACCCGCCAGGCGGGGCTAAATTTAGGCTCCCCAGGGGAAGGGCTGGGGCAGGAAGGGACCATGGGGTCCAGGGGGAGGGGAGTGAGCAGGAGGCTGGGGTCCCTTGGGCAGCTGCCATATCCGTGGCCGTGCCTACACTGGGCCTGCTAGAGGGCTGTTCGCTCCATTCAGCAGAGTGCCAGAGAGCTTGGGGGCTGGCACTTGAACTCTGGCCTCTGGCTCCTGCTCCAGCATCCTGAGGGAGGCCAGGGAAATGCTGGGCACGGCAGGCTGAGGGTGCCCGCAGTGTCAAGGCAGCTGAGTCACAGGCGGCTGTGGGTAGGGCCTCCTGGGCTGCTTAGCCTGGAGCCCAGGCCAGGAAGCCGCCCCTGCCCAGGTCGCAGCTTCCCAGGAGGGCGTTCCCAGCCTGAGTCAGGCTGCCCAGCCAAGCCCCGCCTTCCCTAGGCACCCCCTGTCCGCTTCCCCTTTCTGGGAAGGCCCCTTGTTCCCTTGCTCTGCCACTGCCGGCAGTTTGGGCTTGCGGAAGGGAACTTGGCTCTGGGCTGGAGGGCTCTAGGCTCAGCGGTATAACCTTATTTGGCTCCAAACCTCTCTGGGCTTCAGAATCCTCAGGGTTAACAGAAAGCCAGTTATCCTGGCTTGGCTCCCAGAGGAGCAGTGAGCTGGGCAAACCCGAGCATCTGGCGTGGGGCTGGGTACAGGCAAGGCAAGCTCGTGTGCTGCCCTCGGCCCCATTGTTCCCTCAAGCATCACCTCTCCTGGGCAGCAGTTGAACATCTAACCCAAAGGGGCTCTCTGACCCCAGGCCCAGCTGTGAGAGTGCACTCAGTGTCTGGGAATGGGCCCTATGCCGCTGGCCCTCTCCTCTTGCTTTGCCTCTGCCTCCCCATATCTCTGCCTCTTTTCTGTGTCTGCCCTGGCATATACTGTTCAGCTTAGATGTCACCCCCTGGAAGTTTTTCCTGATTGCCCCGCAGGCTCCATTGTCATCATCTTGCTGCAAAGCTGATCCTCCTTGGGACCCCTGGGCCCAGCAAAGGGCTGGACATGGTGGGTGAGGGGTGACGGTGTTGGTTAATGGCAAGCTGACCCTCTGCTGCCTCTCTGGCCTCACCCCCAACTCTATGACCTCATCCTCCAGCCACAGACCCTTGGACTTGCCATTCCCTCTTTCTCCAGATCCTCACAGCCCATCCCCCATCACTCATGTCTCTGCTGACACCCAACCTCAAGGAGACCCCCAAGGGGCTCCCTCACATCACCCTGTTCGCTTGTTAATGTATTTTCCTTCTTTTTTTTTTTTTTTTTTTTTTTGAGACGGAGTTTCGATCTTGTTACCCAGGCTGGAGTGCAATGGCGTGATCTCGGCTCACCGCAACCTCCGCCTCCTGGGCTCAGGCAATTCTCCTGCCTCAGCCTCCTAAGTAGCTGGGATTACAGGCATGTGCCACCACGCCCAGCTAACTTTTTGTATTTTTAGTAGAGACGGGGTTTCACCTTGTTGACCAGGATGGTCTCGATCTCTCGACCTCGTGATCCACCCGCCTCGGCCTCCCAAAGTGCTGGGATTACAGGCTTGAGCCACCGCGCCCGGCGTATTTTCCTTCTTGACTGGTAGTCTGCCCCTACCTCCAGTGTCCTCCCTGGAAAGTTCTTGCCTCTCCTTTGCCCTGCTCTGTCCCCAAAACTGGGCTGGGTTTACGGTGGGCACTCCACAAACATCTGTGCACGAATGGATTTCTTTTTTTTTTTTTTTTGAGGCAGAGTTTTACTCTCGTTACCCAGGCTGGAGTGCAATGGCGCGATCTCGGCTCACCGCAACCTCCGCCTCCTGGGTTCAGGCAATTCTCCTGCCTCAGCCTCCTGAGTAGCTGGGATTACAGACACGCGCCACCATGCCCAGCTAATTTTTTGTATTTTTAGTAGAGACGGGGTTTCACCATGTCGACCAGGATGGTCTCAATCTCTTGACCTCGTGATCCACCCGCCTCGGCTTCCCAAAGTGCTGGGATTATAGGCGTGAGCCACCGCGCCCGGCCGAATGGATTTCTTTTAACCCTGTCTTTGTCTCTTTCTGTGTCGGAGTCTGCGTGTGTGTGCGATGCTCCAGTGCGCATCTGTGTCTGGCGTCTCTTGCCGCGTCCCTGTGTTTCTCTGTGTCCGTCTCTGTGTGTGCCTGTCCCTGTCTCTCTTGTTGTCTGTCCTCATAGTCAGTGCCTGCCCACACTGTCTGGGCCTTTGCCCTTCTGCTCCGGCCCCACCCTGCCTCAGCAGCTCCACCCTGCACCCTGTGGCCCCAGATAAGGGGCTGCCCAGGCCCTCTCCTGGAGGGAGGGGGAGGTGGGCAGAAGGAAGACCCTGAGGGAGCTAGGGGAGGAGGAGGAAGAGGAGATGGGGAGGCAGGTAGGCCTGACTAAGCAGCCCACTCCCTTCCCCCCCCCACTCCCCCAGGCAGCCGGATAAGCTAGTGGTGGTATGGACCCGGCGGAACCGACGCATCTGCTCCAAGGTGGGGAAGGATGGCAACTGGGGGTCCAGATTAGGGATGTGGGCCAAGGGGAGGCAGAAGGCGGCTGATGGGGGAGTGGAGTCAGGTTCAAGTTCAGATCAGAATCCACAGAGGGGAGAGGAAGATGGTGTCAAGGTTGGTGATGGGGGTGGGGGTGAGAGGAAAGAATTAAGATGGGGTGAGGACTTAGATGGCCCCTTGTAGGCCCACAGCTGGCAGCCGGGCATCCAGAACCCATACCGGGGCACCGTGGTGTGGATGGTACCCGAGAATGTGGACATCTCCGTGACCCTCTACAGGGTAAGTCTCTAGCCCCCCAGCATGGATGACAATGGGCAGGCATTTTCAACCCAGGCAGTCAACAGGGTCTCCTGGTAAGTTGTTCATCCAGATAGAATAGGATGTGGGGGGTGAGGCCAAGAACTGGGGGGACCTGCTCAGCATGACTGGCCCAGGAGGCCTCCCTGCAGAAGGCAGCATTTACTCAACACATGCAGCATGAGAGGCAGCTGGGACCAGAACCGGGGCATTCCAGGAGGAGGTAGCAGCATGTGTAAAAGCTACCACTTCATGCCTGTAATCCGAGCTACTTGGGAGGCTGAGGCATGAGAATCACTGTTGCAGTGAGCCAAGCACCACTGCACTTCAGCTTGGGTGACAGAGCAAGACTCCATCTCAAAAAAAAAAAAAAAAAAAAGACACCGTCAAGCACCTCCTGAGCCGGCGCAGGCCCTCCTCCCTTTGCTGCCGCCCCAGCAGCCCTGTTCTCACCGGCACCCTTCTTCCCAGGACCCTCACGTGGACCAGTATGAGGCCAAAGAGTGGACATTTGTTATTGAAAATGTGAGTGTCTGGAGTGGGCTCGGGTCTGGAATCTTGGGGACCCTGGGACAGCACCAATGCCCCTTTCCCTTGTCTCCCCTCTGGCCCACAGGAGTCTAAGGGGCAGCGGAAGGTGCTGGCAACAGCTGAAGTGAACCTGGCCCACCATGCAGGGCCCGTGCCCGCCCAGGTCCCACTGAGGCTGCGGCTGAAGCCCAAGTCGGTGAAGGTGGTGCACGCTGAGCTGAGCCTCACTCTCTCAGGGGTGCTGCTGCGGGAGGGCCGTGCCACGTGAGTGCCCACCTGCCCTCCTTGACCCTGGCCTGTGACCTCTGACCCCCACCCTCACCTATGACCCCTGCCCCCTAGGGATGATGACATGCAGAGTCTCGCAAGCCTCATGAGTGTGAAGCCTAGTGATGTGGGCAACTTGGATGACTTTGCTGAGAGTGATGAAGACGAGGCTCATGGCCCAGGAGCCCCCGAGGCCCGGGCTCGAATCCCCCAGCCAGGTGGGCTCACAGCCTGCTGCAGATCAGGACTGCCAAGACCTGGGGAGGGAGGGTTACCTGGGCCATGAGCCACTTGTTACACCCGCCCTGTGAAGGGAACTCATTACTGCTCAGGCAGTCCCAGCCAGCCCAGCAGCCTCGATTGTCTCAACCTGGCTGCCGGTCCCACGGTGGCCTCGGTCTTCAGCCGAGTCCTAGAGGATGGGTTCCCAATGCCTCCCTGGGCTCCTGGGTCATCTCCTCATTCCCACATGGTGCTTGCCAGGCCCGTACCTGACCCAGGACAGTGGGTCAGAAGCCCGGCTCCTGATCGCTCACCACCAGCCCTCCTGGGCCAGCAGGGGCTTCGTCATCCCTCCCCGCTGCTTGTCCAGGCTTTTTCTCTGTCTGCTATTGTGGTTCTCTCTCTCTTTCTCTCCACATCTATGGGCCTGTCTCTTCTCGCAGGCCGGGGCGGTGCCCTGAGGCTGGGGCGTTTCCCAGGTAGGCCCTGCACTCTAGTTGGGGGGAGGGGGTCAGGCCTGCAGGGCCCTGCCCTCGGCTAACTCTGCCCTTCTCCCCGCTCCTACCACCCCCAGATCCCTCTCGAGAGCTGAAGACGCTTTGCGAGGAGGAGGAGGAAGGCCGAGGACGAGCCCGGCGGGCAGGTGAGGCCCAGGCTAGGGCTGGGGGTAGGGACTGGACCCCAGGTCACCAGGGCCAGGCCTCAGCAACCCCCACTTCCTCTTCAGTTGCCAGCCCTTCTAGTGCTGAGGACACCAGCTCAGTCCCTGTGAGTGCTCCTGCACCCCCAGCCAGAGCCTCCCGAGGCCAGGGGTCAGAACGAGCTACTGAAGCCGGGGGCCAGGTGGGCCCTGAGGCCCCAAGGCCCCCGGAAACCTCAGCAGAGATGAGGTGAGCTTTGGAACCAGCCCCACCCCCCATTGCCCCCTGATAGGAGCTGCATCCCTCACCCAGTACCAACCTGCCTCTCCAGGGCCCCAGCAGTCTGAAGGGTGGGGGATGGTGCTGAGAACTGGGGGCAAGTGAGCCCCCAACATCCCCTCCTGCTCTCTTCTCAGGTCTTCAAGGCAACCAGGCCAGGACACGGCCCCCACCCCAGCCCCTCGGCTCCGGAAAGGCTCTGATGCCCTCCGGCCCTCAGTTCCCCAAGGGGAGGATGAGGTCCCCAAAGCCTCAGGGGCTCCCCCAGCAGGATTGGGCTCTGCCAGGGAGACCCAGGCCCAGGCACGCCCTCAGGAAGGGACAGAAGCCCGTGGGGCTAGGCTGGGCCCAGGCATTGAGGAGAATGGCTCTAGAGAGCCTTTTGGAGGGCAGAGACTCAAGGTTGAAGAGACGGGTACTGGAGACAGGCCAGAGGCCAGTGGGAGGGACACTGAGGCCAGTCGGGGGGACACCGAGGCCAGTGGTGTGGACAGTGAGCCCGGGGCAGGAGGCAGAGAGGTCAACACTAAGAGGGCAGGAGTCAGAGCCAGGGAGGCTACAGAGAGTTCAGCTGTTTGTCAAGGGGATGCTGAGCAGAGGTTAAAGGTGGGACATGTGGACACTAAGGGACCAGAGGCAACAGGGGCGATGCCTGAGGCAAGATGCAGGGGGACCCCCGAGGCTCCTCCAAGGGGCTCTCAGGAGAGGGTAGGAGTCAGGACTAGGGATGAGGCTCCCTCAGGCCTGAGCCCGCCCCTAGTGGAGACTGCAGGGCACTCTGGGCATCTTGGTGACCTCCAGGGGGCCAGGGTTGCTGCAGGCCAGGAGAAAGAGGGTGCAGACGTGAGGGGCGGAGCCCCTGGTATTGAGGGGACAGGCCTGGAGCAGGGCCCCTCTGTTGAAGCAACAAGCACCGGGCCACAGGTGAGCAGCTGGCAGCGGGTCCTGTTATCAGCTACCCAGGGGGCGATATCCAGGGGTCTGGGGGCCTGGGAGGCAGAAGCTGGGGGTTCAGGGGTCCTGAAAACAGAGACTGAGGTGGTAGGGATTGGAGGTGCCGAAGAACCCAGGAGAAAGAAGTCGGGGGGTCGGGGTTCCCAGAGACAAGGACACTAGAGATTGAGATATTGGGGGCCTTGGAGACAGAAGCAGCAAGATCAAGGGTCCTGGAGTTGGAAGTTGCGGGGACAGCACAGTGTGAGGGACTGGAGACACAGGAAACCCAGGTGGCGGTCACAGAGGCCCCAGGGACAGAGACTGGGGTGGCAGAATCTGAGGTATTGGGGACCCAGAAAACAGAGGCTGGGGGTTCAGGAGTTATGGGGACAAGAACTAGGATAGCAGAAACTGAGGTACTGGGGACCCACGAGATATCTGGGGATTCAGGGACACTGAGGCTGGAAGGTAAGATAGCAGAATCTGAGATGCAGGGGGCCCAGGAGACAGAGGAGGAAGATTCTAGGGTACCAGAGACAGAGGCTGAGGGGACAGAGACTAAAACATTAGGGACCCAGGAGATAACAGCTAGGAGTTCAGGGGTCCCAGAGACAGAAGCTGAGATAGCAGAGTCTGAGATATTGGTAGCCCATGAGATAGAGATGGAGCTTTTGGGGGTCTCGGGGATAGAGACTGGGGCAGCAGAAGCTGTGATATTGAGGACCCAAGAGATACCATCTGGGGATTCAGGAGTCCCAGGGATAGAAGCTGATATAACAGGGATCCAGGCTACAGAGGTGGGGGGTTCAGAAGTTCCAGGAGTAGAGACTGGGACAGCAGAAGCTGTGATATTGGGGACCCAAGAGATAGCATCTAGGGGTTCAGGGGTCCCAGGGTTAGAATCTGAGGTCGCTGGGACCCAGAAGATGGAGGTGGGGGCGTCAGGGATCTCTGGGCCAGAATCTGAGGTAGGTGGGGCCCAGGAGACAGAGGTGGGGGCGTCAGGGATCTCTGGGCCAGAATCTGAGGTAGGTGGGGCCCAGGAGACAGGAGGTGGAGGGTTCAGGTATCTCAGGGCCAGAGGCTGGAATGGCAGAGGCCGGAGTACTGATGACCCAACAGACAGAAATTATAGTTCCAGAGGCTCAGAAGGAAGAGGTTCAGGCTTTAGGGGGCCAGGAAGCAGAGACGGGAGTTGGGAGTGCTCTCAACTCTGGGGCCTTCAAGACCCCAGTCACTCAGCCAAGAGTTGTCAGGATCCCAGGAAACAAAAGCAGAGATTTCAGGACTACAAGGGTCAGAGAGTGAAGTTCTGAGAGTCCAGGAGGCAGAGGCTGAGATTTGGGAGATGTCAGAGGCCAAATCTGGGGCTTGGGAGGCCCAGGAGGCAGAGATGGCGGTTTTAGAGCCTCCGGAGAATAAATCTGGTATTTTTGAGGCCCAGGAAGCGGAGGCTGGGGTCGTAGGAAACCAGAAGGGGAAAGAAGCTGAGGGAAGCCTCGCAGAGGCCAGCCTGGCTGAAGCACAGGTGGCCAGTGGGGCAGGGGCTGGGGTGCCCAGGGCCTCTTCCCCAGAGAAGGCTGAAGAGGACAGGAGGCTGCCGGGCAGCCAGGTAGGGATGGGGGCCGCCGAGGGACCCAGTCTGTTGCTTCCCACTAACCTGGGGCTGAGCGAACGGCGGCTCTGCATGGACCCACCTGGTGGGCTGGGATCGGGTGGGGTGGGGGGCTCAGCTTGAAGGAGCCCCCTCATCCCCTCCTCTCTAAGGATGCCCTGGCTGTCCTACCCCATCTTCCCTGGGCCGCATGGAGCTGGATACCTCTAAGCTGATTTTCTGGGCTGACCTTGAGGTGTGGCTGCTGGTGACCTCCGATCTTGTCTGGGGGCCACTGACCTTTTAGGTGATCTTGGCAGATAACCCTGGATCTGGAAACCCTTTTGCCTGGCCCCAAGGCTTTGGCCAGTGTCTCTGGTGACCCGTGCAAGCTCAGAGATGGGGCTGTTTTGTGCCAGGCATGAGCCTCCCCAAGGGGCAGAGGGCACAGGACCCATTTATACATTCCCTAAGCCCCCCCACTGTGTCCCCAGGCACCACGTACCCTGGTTAGCTCCAGCCAGTCCCTGCTGGAGTGGTGCCAGGAAGTGACCGCTGGCTATCGTGGGGTCCGCATCACCAACTTCACCACATCCTGGCGAAACGGATTGGCCTTCTGTGCCATCCTGCACAGATTCTACCCAGACAAGATGTGAGCTGCCAGAGGGGTGGGAACGAATGGGGGAGCCATCAGAGAGGGCAGCATGGATCCAGCCTCTGACCAATGCTCTCTCTGCAGTGACTATGCCTCCCTAGACCCACTCAACATCAAGCAGAACAACAAGCAGGTGAGATGGGGTGGGGGGCCTGCCTGGAGGGAAGGAGGGTCTAGAGAGCCAGGCTTTCAGCCTCAGATTTGGAGAAGGTGGACTGCGGGTCCCCAGCTGTCGCTTGTAGAAATTTGCCATTTTTTACCTTTTTGGTCATTAAATTGTTTGCTTTCCTTAGTTTCGTTTGTTTGTTTTAAAGCGTTTTATCTCTCTTAGATGGTTTTTGCAAAACCACCCCTTGGTAACTGGGTGGACATCGTGCAGTTGCTAAGCAACGCGAGGGCGGGCCCTGTTGCTAGATTTCCCTCGCTAGGACGGGGCGGTGTTGGTCGGCGAAGTCTGGCGAGCCAGTACCTGGGACCCCTCCGCGGCGTGGCACCGCAGTGTTGCCAGGTGCTGCAGGCCACCGCCGCCGCTGACCCTGAGCGCACCCTTCCCCCAGGCCTTCGATGGCTTCGCGGCCCTGGGCGTGTCGCGGCTGCTGGAGCCCGCGGACATGGTGCTACTGTCGGTGCCCGACAAGCTGATCGTCATGACGTACCTGTGCCAGATCCGCGCCTTCTGCACCGGGCAGGAGCTGCAGCTGGTGCAGCTGGAGGGCGGCGGCGGCGCCGGCAGGTACCGCGTGGGCAGCGCCCAGCCCAGCCCGCCCGAAGATCTGGACGCCGGAGGCCTGGCGCAGCGGCTGCGCGAGCACGGGGTCGAGGCGCCCCAGGAGGCTGTGGACCGCGCGGACGGGGCGGCCCCGGGGGCGGCCTCCAGGAACGCGGATGCAGGCCGCGCCTCCAAGGACAGTGGGGCCGAGGCCGCCCGACAGGCGCGACCCACGGAGGTCCCGGCAGAGGGGTTGGTGAACGGGGCGGGGGCACCGGGCGGTGGCGGCGTGAGGCTGCGACGGTCCTCGGTCAACGGGGAGGCCGGGCCTGTGCCCCCGCCCCGCGCGCACGGCTCCTTCTCCCACGTGCGCGATGCAGACCTACTCAAGAAGAGGCGCTCGCGGCTGCGGAACAGCAGCTCCTTCTCGGTGGACGATCCGGACGGGGGAGCCGCAGGAGCTGCGGGAGCTGCGGCTGCGGTGAGTGTCCGGGCTCCTCCTGTCCTCTCCCGCCATAGTGCGGGGCCCCAGGAAGCCGGGCAGAGAATGGGCGGGTCCCCAAGGACGGACCTGGGGTGGGGATGATGGTTTCAGAGCCTGGGGGTGCTCGGATCGACCCGGGAGGGGCTATCTGATCAAAGGGACCCTAGTGCTGTGGATGAGTCCTCTGGTGTGGTGGTGAGCTCCCAGTTAGGGGATGCACTGCAGCCAAGACCCGCCCGGCGGGGTCCAGGGCTTTGCTGTCAGCCTGGGATAAGTGCTGGAGTTTTTTTTTTTTTTTTTTTTTTTTTTTTTTTTTTTGAGACGGAGTTTCGCTCTTGTTACCCAGGCTGGAGTGCAATGGCGCGATCTCGGCTCACCGCAACCTCCGCCTCCTGGGCTCAGGCAATTCTCCTGCCTCAGCTTCCTAAGTAGCTGGGATTACAGGCACGCGCCACCACGCCCAGCTAGTTTTTTGTATTTTTAGTAGAGACGGGGTTTCACCATGTTGACCAGGATGGTCTCGATCTCTCGACCTCGTGATCCACCCGCCTCGGCCTCCCAAAGTGCTGGGATTACAGGCTTGAGCCACCGCGCCCGGCCGAGTGCTGGAGTTTTTAGTGCTTGGCACTTGGTATGGGGAACCACAGGCTACAGTAGGAGGTTCCCAGAGGATCCACGTTCTTGGCACTCACCTCAGTGCTTGGTGGGCTGGAAGGTGGGTTTGGGCATTTCTTTCCCTGCAGGTGGCTCATTGTTAACCAGCAGCCACCTTGCCCCATAAGCTGGGTACACACTGTCTGTACTCAAGGGGGACTCTCTAGGATTCGGGCGTGCATCTTTTTTTTTTCTTTTCTTTTCTTTTTTTTTTTTGAGCTGGAGTCTTGCTCTGTCACCCAGGCTGGAGTGCAATGGCATGATCTCTGCTCACTACAGCCTCCGCCTCCCAGGTTCAAGTGATTCTCCTGTCTCCGCTTCCCAAGTAGCTGGAATTACAGGCACCCACCACTGCACCAGGCTAATTTTTGTATTTGTAGTAGAGACAAGATTTCACCATCTTGGCCAGGCTGGTTTCAAACTCCTGACCTCGTGATCCACCCATTGGGCATGCACCTTTAACCCCAGATGCTGGAGACCAGTCTCCTCTTTTCTTATAATGGAAGGCTGGAGATGGGAGATCCTGAGGGCCCGTGTCCCTGTTGTCATCCCCTGTGGGTCGAAGGTAATCTCCCAGAGTGTCATGTCACTCTGCTGAAGGGGACATGGTCCCCGAAAGAGCAGGAATTTGCTCAGGGACCCACAGCAGCCAGATTCCAGGACACAGACTTTCCATCTGGGGTCCCACCACTGCCCCATCCTGCCTGCCTACCAAGGGACACCTCTGCCAGGCTACTGCAAACCTTCAGCTGTCCAGGAAAGACCCCTGCATTTGAAGGAAAGGAGGGAATTCATTGGGCAAGCCTTTCTGGAAGAAGCCACCATTTGAGCTAGGTTGATAAGATGGCCAGGTTTTTCCCAGGTGACAAATGAGGTGGGTTCTCAAATGGTGGGAACTGCATTATCGAAAACGTGGCAGCAGGAAAGTTGAGGTCTCGTTTAGGGAACTGCCAGCCATCTCCCAGAAGCTCCAGAAGCAGTGATGAGGCCAGGCCAAGAGCTGGAGTCCTAGGTGTAGAGTCAGAGGCACCGCGTTGAGCCTGTGAGTGAGAGACAGTGGGCACAGGTGACGGCCACCTGTAGATGCGATATGCAGGATTCAGGAGGACGAGGACAGCCTTGGCCCATCTGTTGGCCTCTGGCCACAGCCTCATTAATGTGTGGCAGTGGCTCTTTAAATCTTAAAGGGAAGGTGCCAACTTATGCCCCTCTGGGCCCAAGTTGCAGCATCTGGTCTTTCCAAGTCAGGCCCTCCCCTATCTTGTCTCACAGGAGATATCTGACCCATGGGGCAGGAGGGGACTCCTCATTGGCCACCCCCATCCCTCATGCCCATTGTGTGTACTGGGAGGTGGTCGGGCTTGGCCCTGCCCTTGGGAGCTCCCAGAGTCCTGGGCTTCCTGGAGGAGGGACCAGGCATGAGAATATTGAAAGAGGAATTTGAGGCCAGGCACAGTAGCTCACGCCTGTAATCCCAGCACTTTGGGAGGCTGAGGCCGGCGGATCACCTGAAGTCAAGATCAGCCTGACCAACATGGAGAAACCCCGTCTCTACTAAAAATACAAAATTAGCCGGGCGTGGTGGGGCATGCCTGTAATCCTCCGCTACTCTCGAGGCTGAGGCAGGAGAATCGCTTGAACCTGGGAGGCAGAGGTTGCATTGAGCTGAGACTATACCATTGCATTCCAGCCTGGGCGACAGAATGAGACTGTCTCGAAAAACAAAAAAACACACACACAAAAGGGGAATTTGAGTTAGACATGAGGAAACACTGGAATTCTCACAAGGTCTGGCATGAGGAAGCTGAGGCTGGATTTCTCCACTCTGCTGCCTCTGCCGGTCCCATCAGCTCAGTACCCTCTATGTGCCTGGCCTGCCCATGGGCTCTTTACAGTGTGTATGAAAGCCTTTTGCAAGGTGGCATTGAGGCCCCCTGAAGGTTGCTGTCAAAAAAAGGGAGCTTTGTGTTCCTTAGATTCCTCTCTCGAAGCCCTGCAGCTCCCAAGTCACACAGGGCCAGGCTTTCCCTCATTTCACATACCAGGACACAAACGAAGGCCCCATGGGTGTGACGGGCCTGAGGCACACAGCAAGTTGGTGGCCAAGCTTGGGAACAAACTTTTGGGTTAGACAACCCTGGGCCCTGGACCAGACCCCTTAGGAGCATCATCTCTGCCCCTGTTGCCTCATCTGTGAAGTGGGAGGGTCATGTCCCTGCCTCACAGGGATGTTGGGAGGATTCAGTGAGTGAATGTGCATGGAGTGCCTAGTACAGAAGCTCTTGGTAGATATTTGCTGTTATTAGTCAATGTGGCCTGAGTGTATTCTCTGGGCCTGGCCCTGATAAGGGGGAGAGAAACCAGCAGCTGTGATGGGGTGAGTTGGGGCTGGAGCTGTGATGGGGAGGCCATGGGAGGAGTATCTGCCCAGGCTGGGGATCAGAGGAGGTTTGGGAGTATAGAAGTCAGGGAGGGAGGCGGGAAGAGTGTAGGGGCCCTGGTAGGGGGGCCTCTGGAGGAGGCAGGGCTGGGCTGGGTCTTGGAGGTTGTGTTGGTATTGGGTAGCCCAAGATGGAGGCTGAGTCCAGGCTGAGAAAGCTATTTTGGGAACTGAAAGTCGGTCACTGTGGCCAGGGGGCGGTGTCTAGGCGTGGCTCAGGGTGGTAGGAGCTTTGAGGCTGGAGCCACCAACAGGCTTTGATGTGAGGGGGTGGCGGGGCTGAGGAGAGGTGTGAAAAAGGCCACCCGGTTTCAGCTTGAGTCAGCAGGCAGGCCGTGCTGGTGGCTGGTGGGGAAACTGAAACTGCCCCAGACCAGGGAGGATGGCCCCTGAGCCAGGGATGTCCAGGGCTGCCTCTCAGAGAGGTGCAGGTGGGGGTGGACACGGGAGGCTCAGCTGCTATCCCTGCCCCGTGACCCAGACACAGGTCAGATGACCCAGACACGGTGGGTGGGGGGGGGCAGGGCAGGAGCAGTTAAGAGGCCAGGCCATCAGCTGAGCTGAAAGTTGGGGACACCCTGGGCTGACGGTACCAGCAAGTCACTAGAGGCGGGCAGGCACATGGGGTCAGCCCTGCCCTTCCAGGCTAAAATTCAGAGATCCAGCCAGCCTGGCTTGTTGTGTGAGCATGCAGCAGCTGCTCCTCGGTGTGGGAACTGAAAAGGCAGCAGGGTACCTCCTTTTGGCCTGGAGGTGGAGATGCTGGCTCCAGAGGGTCCAGGTCTGGGGAACCCTGAGGAGGGAAAGGGAGGGAGTCTGGGTGGGGCCTCTGCAGGAGGCAGGCTGGGCTGGGTCACACGGATGGGGCCATATCAGGTCTGTGCAGGGTCCGCCCTGGCCAGAATGGAGAAGCCAGCACTAGGTGACAAAGGTGGCCTGAGGGAGCTCAGTAAAGAAGGAGCTAAGGCTGGGACCAGGGGCTTATTATAATCCCAGTACTTTGGGAGGCCAAGGCCGGTGGATCACCTGAGGTCAGGAGTTTGAGACCAGCCTGGCCAACATGGTGAAACCCTGTCTGTACTAAAAATACAAAAATTAGCTGGGCGTGGTGGTTGGTGCCCGTAATCCCAGCTACTTGGGAGGGTGAGGCAGGAGAATCCCCTGAACCTGGGAGGTGGAGGTTTCAGTGAGCCATGATCACACCACTGCAGTCCAGCCAGGGCAACAGAGCGAGACTCCGTCTCAAAAAAAAGGTGGGGAGGAGATGCCTGGGCTGGGCCCTTCACAGGTTCTCACCCTTCAAGGCCAGAGTTCAGCCCAGCCCCAGGAGGGGAACTGGGAGGTTTGGAGCCTGGGAGTGGATGGGCCCAGGCCCATAGGGCCAGGAAGGATGAAGACCATGACCTTTGCTTGAGGAGGCATTTTCCCTGGAAGGAGGTGGGACCGGAGGTGGGGGGGGGGTTCTGTACATGCAGGACTAGGGGTGGGCAGGGGTTGTGGTCAGGGACCCCTCCTCCCCTCTGTGTGAGTGGCCTTGGCTGGCCCCAGGCCCAGGCTGGCGGGAAACCCCTCCCAGCCCTCACTGGATCTTTCTTCCACAGGAAGGCCAGGCCCCTGACCCCAGCCCCGCCCTGGGCCCACCCACAGCTGCAGCCTCTCAACAGCCCCCTGGTGAGTAGCAGCAGTGGTGACCATCTCAGTTCAGGCTGCTCGCAAAGCCTGGCCTGGGGACTTTCTGGGGGTGGCTGGGTGGTGGTTAGGGGGTGCCTTATCATCATCTCTGTCTGCAGATAGGAGTCCCCCCTTGGAAGAGCCACCCCCAAGCCCAGGGGAGGAGGCTGGGCTGGTAAGGAGAGCTAAGTGGGAGGAGCTAATGGGTGGGCACCTCCTAGGCAGCGCCTGGGCTGAGTTCACCCTGTTCTCTGCCCTTTTTCCAACCCCAGCAACGGTTCCAGGACACAAGTCAGTATGTGTGTGCAGAGCTGCAGGCCCTGGAGCAGGAGCAGAGGCAGATAGATGGGCGGGCAGCTGAGGTGGAGACGCAGCTGAGGAGCCTCATGGAGTCAGGTGGTGCAGGCATCTGGGGGTTCCCTCCCCAACACATGCCACTACGTCTGCCCAGCCCTGTAGCTGTTCCTGACCCTGGGAGGAGCTGGGAGGAGGCACAGCTGGCGTCAGCATTCCCCTTTTACAAGCCAGGCATGCTGAGGCCTACAAGTGGCTTCCAGGAGGCACACAGTTCTGGGATGTCACAAAAGCAAACCCCCTTCCCCAACCCCCAGCTGCCCTGCTCTGACACTGGGGGCAGGTGGCAGGCCTGGTGACTGTCCCTACCCAATTCAGGTGCCAACAAGCTGCAGGAGGAGGTGCTGATCCAGGAGTGGTTCACCCTGGTCAACAAGAAGAACGCGCTCATCCGGAGGCAGGACCAACTGCAGCTGCTGTGAGTGCTGGCCCAGGGCTAGGAGAGCAGAGGGACTCTCAGCTATTTTGGTTAGGGCTGTTCACTGCTTTCTTCTTTCTACAGAGATCTTTTTGACAGATTATTCCTCCTCCATCTTATTGTTTTTATGCTATCCAATTTGCTGTTTAAAGTATAAAACTGGCCGGGTGTGGTGGCTCACGCCTGTAATTCAAGCACTTTGGAGGCCAAGGCGGGTGGATCACCTGAGGTTGGGAGTTCAAGACCAGCCTGACCAACATGGTGAAACCCCCATCTTTTTTTTTTTTTTTTTTTGAGACGGAGTTTCGCTCTTGTTACCCAGGCTGGAGTGCAATGGCGCGATCTCGGCTCACCGCAACCTCCGCCTCCTGGGTTCAGGCAATTCTCCTGCCTCAGCCTCCTGAGTAGCTGGGATTACAGGCATGCGCCACCATGCCCAGCTAATTTTTTGTATTTTTAGTAGAGACGGGGTTTCACCATGTTGACCAGGATGGTCTCGATCTCTTGACCTCGTGATCCACCTGCCTCGGCATCCCAAAGTGCTGGGATTACAGGCTTGAGCCACCGCGCCTGGCCGAAACCCCCATCTTTTAAAAAATTAAATAAATAAAGTATAAAACTAGGCTGGCTGTGGTGGTTCATGCCTGTAATTCCAGCACTTTCACGCAGATCACCTGAGGTCAGAAGTTTGAGACCAGCCTAATACAATGAAACCCCATCTCTACTAAAAATACAAAAGTTAGCTGGGTGGGGTGGCACGTGCCTGTAATCCCAGCTACTTGGGAGGCTGAGCTAGGAGAATCGCTTGAACCCAGGAGGCGGAGGTTGCAGTGAGCCAAGATCGTGCCATTGCACTCCAGCCTGGGCAACCAGCGTGAAACTTCGTCTCAAAAAAAAAAACAACAAAGTAAAACTGGCCAGGCACAATGGTTCACGCCTGTAATGCCAACACTTTAGGAGGTTGAGGAAAGCGGGTCACCTAAGGTTAGGAGTTCAAGACCAGCCTGGCCAACATGGTGAAACTTTGTCTCTACTAAAAATACAAAAATTAGCCGGTGTGGTGGCACGTGTCTGTAATCCCAGCAACTTGGTAGGCTGAGGCAGGAGAATCACTTGAACCCGGGAGGCAGAGGTTACAGTGAGCTGAGATCAGGCCATTACACTCCAGCCTGGGCAACAAAGTGAGACTCTGTCTAAAAATATAAAAATTAAAAAAAATTAATTTTAAAACTCTTAAGTTATAACTATTTTTACTAATAAGAAAACCAGGCTGGGCGCAGTGGCTCATGCCTGTAATCCCAGCACTTTGGGAGGCCAAGGCAGGCAGATCACCTGAGGTCGAGAGATCGAGACCATCTTGGCCAACATGGTGAAACCCCATCCCTACTAAAAATACAAAAAAATTAGCTGGGTGTGGTGGTGCATGCCTGTAGTCCCACCTACTCGGGAGGCTGAGGCAGGAGAATTGCTTTAACCCAGGAGGGGAAGATTGCAGTGAGCCAGGATCTCGCCACTGCACTACAGCCTAGGTGACAGTGCGAGACTCCATCTCAAAAAAGAAAAGAAAGAAAACCAAGGCCCAGAACAAAATGAGGCCCAGGAAGGTGAAGGCCAAATTCCTGTGTGACGCTGTTTCTTTACAGTAAGGAAAACAAGCCCAGAGGGGTATGATCTGGTTCCCCGTGGGGTCAGAAGCCACTCTGCGACACTGCCTTATCATCCTGCCAGGCGGAGGTGGCTTTGGCTCCCTTTTCAGTTTGTAATCCTTTTTCAGAATAACTGGAGCCCCATACTTCCTATTTATGAATACTGTTCATCCAAATAATCCCTCGAGGGTCCTCCTGGGGTGCGTGTGGGGCAACATAAACACCAGCAATTGGAGAAAGCAGTTCGAAGAAAAGAGAGAATGTGGTCAGCCCTGCCCTCTGTGAGAACTGCTGGGGAGGTGGGATGGGGCCAGAGCCCTGGGCACTCCCTCCCTGCGCCCCTTTTCCTGACCTGCTTACCCGCCACCTTCCAGCATCGAGGAGCAGGACTTGGAGCGCAGGTTCGAGCTGCTGAGCCGCGAGCTGCGGGCCATGCTGGCCATCGAAGGTGGGACCTGGGCCCAGGGGGCGGGAGGCAGGACATAGCCAGGGTAGAGGCGGCACAACGCCGGCCCCGCGGCTCCTGACGCTTTGCCGCTTCGGCCCTCAGACTGGCAGAAAACGTCTGCGCAGCAGCACCGAGAGCAGCTCCTGCTGGACGAGCTGGTGTCGCTGGTGAACCAGCGCGACGAGCTGGTCCGGAACCTGGACCACAAGGAGCGGATGTGAGTGGCGCTGGGAGTTGGGAGGGTCCAGGGCGCGCTCCTGCAGAGGGCTGGATGTGGACCCCGCCCAAGGCCGCGCTGACTCGAGCCCGTTCCCCGTAGCGCCTTGGAGGAGGACGAGCGCCTGGAGCGCGGCCTGGAGCAGCGGCGCCGCAAGCTGAGCCGGCAGCTGAGCCGGCGGGAACGTTGCGTGCTGAGCTGAGGCCGCCGGCCCGGGAGGCCCGTAGCTTCTCCAGCCCCCGGCGCCCGCCGCCGCCCCGGATGCTGTGCGTGTCCGCTAGGGGCCGCCGGCGCCCTTCCCGCGACAGGGCAGGGCGGATCGCCGGCCCGTGGCTTGGCGGCCGTCGTATTTATTTGTCGCCGAGTGTGTGTGCACGCTTGCGGCGGGGGCGGGCACCTCCCCGATGGCACGGCCCGGCCAGCAGCCCCGGGGAGGAGAGGGATGCCTGGGGGCTGCCGCCCTGCGCCGCCTCGCCCTCCTGTTCTCCAGAGCAGTAAAGTTGGACTAGGCTACCCCAGCGTCGGCCTTTTCTCCGCTCCACCTGGGCTCTCAAAGGGCGGAGGAGGGTAGGCCGAGGCTGAGGCGGCTCTGCCATCCTAAGCGAGACGATGCGGCCTCGGGGTTCCCAGCGGCAGCGGAGACTAGACGTCGGCCTTCCTGGGATGGTGGCCGGTGGCTGTGTCCCATTCCAAAGACTCTAAAAGCGCCGAAGTCGTTGTTCATTTTATGATTAACACGTGTTCCCCGAGGCCTCCCGCTCACCCCGCCGGCCCCATCTCCAGATTCTTCCCCGGCCACTCCTGGCTGCTTCCTCCTCCCGGCCGTCACCGTCACCGCCACCATACTGAAGCTGAACTCCGTCACCTGACACCTCAGCAAGCAGGGACCTGTCCTGAAGCTGGGGCCGCAGGTGGCAGGGTGCTCAGAGCCAGTTCATCCTGCCCTAGGATGCCACCTTGGTCTGCAGCAGTCACAGGGCCACAGGGCCTGAAGAACTTCTCCACGGCACGGACCTGTGGCAGCCTGGAGAAGGTCTCAACGGCCAGCAGCATGGCCAAGAGTCCTAGAAGCAAGTAACCTGGGGAGGAGAAGGTGCCGGGGCAGCGCCCAGGTGCTGGTGATGCTCCCCGCCCACCTCCAGGCACGGTGACCTGCCCTAGCAGCTGGTGCCACTCACCGCCCCCCCCCCACACACACACTGCCACCAGAGCTCCTCAGCTACCCCTCCCGTACGTGCCCTGGAGTGGGGTCCCTCCACCAGCAAGACCCAGTCCCCCAGTTGTTCATGGGAATCCTAGTCCCTGCTCCTCCTCCCACTTTGCCAACACACTCTTAGGCAGCTGACTTACCAAGAAGTGCAAGCTGGCCCACGTGGTAAATCACGGGGTGCAGGCCGTGGCCATGGCTGGGCAGGAGGTCCCCTACGCCAATGGTGCTGAGCGAGCTGAAGCAGAAGTAGATGGCCCCCAGCAGGCTGCTGTCACCCTGAAGGCCCCACAGCACCAGCGCTGGCAGCAGCACAAAGCTGCTGGCCACCAGCAGGCCCAGGGCAACTGCCTGCAGCAGGGCAGCCCTGGCTGGCGACAGCTGCCAGTGGACCGCTACCCAGGCACCTGGGCGGCTGAGCGCAGGCAGCAGGCAGTGGTGTAGGGTGGCCACTAGAGCTAGGGAGGCTGGCAGCCCCAGGGCTGCATAGACCACACAGAAGGCCCGTCCGCCTGCCGATAGTGGGGCCATGTGGCCATAACCTGGAGAAGAGAGAGTCAGTGGACTGTCAGAGCTCTGAGTGTGATGTCTGCTGGGGTCCCCGCCTACCCAATACCACCTTCCACAGAAGGCTGCCCTCTAGTGGCCTTGAACTGGCCAGGCCCAGGTTACATCTGGCTCTGCTCCTCCTTCACCAGGGGATCCTGGGCCAGTCCCTTACCCTCTCTGGGCCACTCTTCTCTTTTCTGGAAAATAAAAGGATGAGGCCAGGTGTGGTGGCTCACGCTTATAATCCCAGCACTTTGGGAGGCCGAGGTGGGTGGATCACAAGGTCAGGAGTTCGAGACCAGCCTGGCCAACATAGTGAAACCCTATCTCTACTAAAAATAAAATAAATAAATAAAACCAAAACAAAACAAAAAACTAGCCAGGGTGGTAGCACGCTCTTGTAGTCCCAGATAGGAGGTTGAGGTGGGAGAATTGCTTGAACCTGGGACTCAGAGGTTGCAGGGAGCTGAGACCATGCCATTACACTCCAGCTTGGACGACAGAGCAAGACTCCAATCTTAGTGTGTATGAACAATTTTGGAGGATTTAAAAAAAAAGGATGAAAGAAGACAGTTCCCCAGGCCTTTTGTAGCTGGGACAATTCTGAGAACTGGGCTGCCCTTAACAGATATTCTTGATTCCACAGCTGGTGGAGTATCATCCACTCTTTCTCCAAATGTGTCACATCCTGTGTGCTAGGCTTTGTGCTGGGATCTGAGCCTGCCCAGGCCTTGCCCTCCAGTAGACAAGTCAGGCAGGAAAATAATGAAGGGCTGCAAAGAGGCGGCATGGGAAGAGAGGGCATGTGCCAGGTGGAGAGGGGCGGGAGTGCGGGGCGTTCGGGGAGAACAGGATCAGCTAGTCCAGAGCTGCAAACGCACAGGCCCATCAGAGTCAGATGGGAGACAAACAGGAATGGTGGGGACTGGGGTGCACTGAAGAGTGTGAGCTGGACCCAAAGGGCAGGCCCTATTCTGCTCCGGTCACTATGTTACCTTGCAGGGATTCTGGCTCAGTGTTAGTAGGTTTCCTGATTTTCCGAAAGAAGTTGGAAATACGGGCTGGGCACAGTGGCTCACACCTGTAACCCCAGCACTTTGGGAGGGGGAGGTGGACAGATCACTTGAGGTCAGGAGTTTGAGACCAGCAGGGCCAATGTGGCAAAACCCCGTCTCTACTAAAAATACAAAAATTAGCCGGGCATGGTGGTGCACGCCTGTAGTCCCAGCTACTCTGGAGGCTGAGGTAGGAGAACTGCTAGAACCCGGGAGGTGGAAGTTGCAGTGAGTCGAGATTGCACCACTGCACTTCAGCCTGGGTGACATCGAGATTCCCATCTTAAAAAAAAAAAAAGTTGGCCGGGCGCGGTGGCTCAAGCCTGTAATCCCAGCACTTTGGGAGGCCGAGACGGGTGGATCACGAGGTCAAGAGATCGAGACCATCCTGGTCAACATGGTGAAACCCCGTCTCTACTAAAAATACAAAAAATTAGCTGGGCATGGTGGCTCGTGCCTGTAATCCCAGCTACTCAGGAGGCTGAGGCAGGAGAATTGCCTGAACCCCGGAGGCGGAGGTTGCGGTGAGCCGAGATCGCGCCATTGCACTCCAGCCTGGGTAACAAGAGCGAAACTCCGTCTCAAAAAAAAAAAAAAAGTTGGGAATACAAATACAGAAATTCCAATTCAAAAGATACTGAGATGCTTTGTGGGATAAAAAATACAAAAACCCAGGGCTGTGGGTCCCGCTGCCGTTTTTCCCCAGGCCTGTGCCCACACTGTTTCTCTGCAGGACTCCCTTGTCCCCGTCTCTGCACCCTCCTGCTTGGCAACCACGCCAGGCCGACTTCCTCCCTGTCTGCCCTCACTCCTCCTCCACCCAAGGCCTTGGGCCTGATCTGTGCTTCCCAGGTTCCTTCTGTTTGCTTCCCTTCAGGAATCCATCCCACTGTATTGTGTCCCCTGCCTTGCCTCAGGCTGTGGTGTCTGGGCACCTCTCCTGGGTCTCAGAGGGTGCCTGGGGTGGGGCTGGGGAGGCCACACCCTTCCTGGCAGCTGAAGTGGAGTTACCAGTTGGGGTGTGTTGGTGGGGAGCTCCAGTGGTGATGTCGGGCCTGACAGGGCCTGGGCTCCATCTGGCTCTTTGGGGCTGAAGGGCTGCACCCCAGGGTCCCCAGGGAGCCATGACCTCCCCCTGGGCTTCCTGGCTTTCTTACCTGTGGTGGAGAGGATGCTGGCAGTGAAGAGCAGAGCTGAGGGCAGGTCCCAGTTGCTCGCCTCTGAGCTGTTGCCCAGGCTGGAGACCCCATGGGCCTGGGTGGCCAGGGCAGTGCCCAGCAGCTCTTCCAGTGCTCCAGGTGGCAGGCAGGCTCCATGCTTGGCCTGGAAAGCAGCCAGCTCTGCCCTGAGCTCAGCCTGGAGCCTATGTGCTGGAGGCCCCTCCAGGGCCTGGAACACCATGGCCCCAAGCCCTAGGGCCAGCGAGTGGCCCACAACCAGGAGCCCGTATCGGGCCCAAGGCCTTAGACCCCCCATGGCGGGCTGCTGGGGTGCTGTGGGAGCTGGCGCCTCCACCTCAGGCACCTGGGAAGGGCTGGGCAGGGCGGGGCCAGGAGGAGTTGCTGCGTGGGTGGCTGGGACCTGGCTGGGGTGTGAACGGGAGGGAGGTGAGCTGCATCCACCCCTCCCAGGTTCTGGGGGCAAGACATCTGCCCATTTCACAGCAGCTGGGATGGTGGGGACGGGTGGAGGAAGGTGGCTGTGGTGAGTGGAGGAGGCGGAAGAGGCTAAGGCTTAGAGAGTGCCTCACGCTTATTCAAGGTGGTGCTCAGACACCCATACCGCTTTCATTCATTCATTCATTCAGCAAGTGCTTAGGTCCTAGGACTCCAGAGAAGAGGACAGGCACAGGTCCTTCTCTCAGCAAAGAAACGCGACAAGCTCATATGGTCTCAACTCCCGTGCAGGAACGCCCTGGGCGATGGGAGAGCTGTGGGGGAGGGGGTTAGCTCACGGGGAAGGCTCTGCTGAGGAGGCGACATTGCAGCTGGGGAGTAAGAGGCCAGTGAAGGTAGGAAGGAGCTTGAGGTGTGAGAGGGACAGAGGGCTGGCTATGGTGGGGGACAGTGCAGGGTGAAGGGGGGACAAGGACATGGGCCCTTGAGGACAAGCATAGTCCAGGGAGACCTACACCGGCTATGACAGGCATCCTGGATGGAGCCATTTTGGCCCGGGCGGTGGGGTGGGAGGGGAATGGTGGCAGCTGGGAAGGATTGGGTGGAGGCAGGGGTGGGAGGCAAGGAGAGGAATCCAGGGTGCCCAGAGCACTGCGGCAGGCGATACCCTTGAGCCCCACTGCCAGTCCTTCCCGAGAATCCTTCATGCCTGCCCTCCTGACATTACCTGCCCCTGAACTGCAGACAGAGTTCTGGGGCAGGGGAAGGGGGAACCTGGCTTCCAACTCCTCTAACCTCAGAGGGGCTGAGGACCGAGGCTGAGGGAGGGACTCTGCCCTTGGGTATGGCATGGGAGTGCCAGAGCCCCCATGGCAGTGTGACGAGAACTGTCAGGGTGCTAGGTGCTATGGTGAGTCACTATGCTGGGAGGTGGGTGGACCTTAATACTTTTTTCTTCTGAGACAATGTCTTGCTCTGTTGCCCAGGCTGGAGTGCAGTGGCACAATTTTGGCTCACTGCAACCTCCGCCTTCTAGGTTCAAGCAATTCTCCTGCCTCAAACTCCAGAGTAGCTGGGACTTCAGGCATGCACCACCATGCCTAATTTTTGTATTTTTAGTAGAGACAAGGTTTCACCATGTTGCTCAGGTTGGTCTCAAACTCCTGACCTCAGGTGATCCATCGGCCTTGGCCTCCCAAAGTGTTGGGACTACAGGCGTGAGCCACCACACCTGGCCAAGAAGAGCCTTGAATGACTGACCAAGACTGGTGGATTTGGTTCCAGAAGAGGGGTGCAGTGCAACGCATGCAACTGCCCATCGTTGGGGCATCAGGAGTCCAGGGTTGCGTGACAGGTTGGATCTCCTGCTTACCTCCAAGAAAGGTGACCGGCTACATGTGGGGAGACAGCTTTTGAGTTTATTTGGCTTCTGGCTTCATTGGATCCCGAGGCTAAGACCCTTACCCTGGCTGGGGCAGCAGGAAGGCACCTGGAGAGCCCTGGCCCCAGATGACCCCCAGGGCAGGGGGTCTAGGCTCTAAGTCCTAGGGCAGGGGCCAGGAGCAGGACTTGGTCAAAAGTGCTGGTGACAGCTGAGGCCGGCCCCTCTCCCCTGCACCTCTCCTCCTCCCTGCATCACCCCTGGGGGCAATTCCCTGAGACAGGCTCTGGTCCTCCCAACCAGCTGGGTACAGTGTTGGGCCCCAGTAGGGCAGGTGAGCTGGGGGGACCCACAGGTTGCAGGTGTGGGGCTGCAGGCCCCCCATCCAGTGTGAAGGCTTCCTGTGCAGTGTAGTGTTCCTGACCCCCAAAAGGGGTGTGGGGTCCCTGGGGAAACTGAGGCAGCTGCAGAGGCTGGCCCAGCTCCTGTTCCAGTGTATACTGACTCCTCTTAAGGCAGCTGGAGCTTGGGGGAGTGGCCTGGCCCACTCAAGGCCCTGCCTCCGGCACCCAAGGGGCCTGGGCACCCATGTCTTTGGTCTGTGCCCTGCAGTCCTGGGCCCCCCCCCGGAAGGGGTTGGCAGGTGGGGAGTCCCAGAAGGGGTCTGAGTCCGGGAACAAGGTCCAGGGTGCCCGGCGGGGTGCAGGCTGTGGTGAAGGCAGTGGAGAAGGCCGTGGCCCAGCTGACACAAAGCTCCAGGGATCTATGCGGCTGCGAAGGGGTGAGGGCCGAGGTCGGCTGATGAGGCCCAGGGGTGGTGAACGTGGGGTGCCTGGGGTGCCAGGAGCAGAGCGTGATGTTCCCGGTGGGGGTGAGACAATGCCTCCTGTGACGGTATAGGAGGGGCACAGGGTCAGGCAGCCACTAAATCCTGAGGTCCCCAAGACACTGCCCTGCTCTGGGCCTCAGTTTCCCCATCTGCACAGTGAGCGACTTGACTCAACTTCCATGGCCCTTCCTGTTCCGCGGTACCTCTGTTTTTCTGTAATGGTTAGGAGTGAGGCCTCTGTAGCAGGCTGGCCTGGATGTGGATCCCAGCTCTGCTACTTACTAGCTGTAGGAGCTGTGGGTTCCTTCATCTCTGTGCCATAAATTTCCTCATCTAAAAATGGGCATCTGGCTGGGCGCGGTGGCTCATGCCTATAATCCCAGCATTTGGGAGGCTGAGGTGGGCAGATCAGGTCAGGGATTTGAGAGCAGCCTGGCCAAGATAGTGAAACCCCGTCTCTACTCAAAATATAAAAAATTAGCTGGGCTTGGTGGTGGGCACCTGTAATCCCAGCAACTTGGGAGGCTGAGGCAGGAGAATTGCTTGAACCCAGGAGGTAGAGGTTGCAATGAACCGAGATCGCACCACTGTACTCCAGGCCTGGTGGCGGTTCAAAACACTGTGTCAAAAAAAAAAAAAAAAAAAAGGGGGAGGGGGCATCTAAGAGCACTTAGTTCACTGGTTGTTATGACTAAATAAGACCATCTCAGGCCGGGCGCAGTGGCTCAAGCCTGTAATCCCAGCACTTTGGGAGGCCGAGGCGGGTGGATCACGAGGTCAAGAGATCGAGGCCATCCTGGTCAACATGGTGAAACCCCGTCTCTACTAAAAAAAAAATACAAAAAATTAGCTGGGCATGGTGGCGCGTGCCTGTAATCCCAGCTACTCAAGAGGCTGAGGCAGGAGAATTGCCTGAACCCAGGAGGCGGAGGTTGCGGTGAGCCGAGATCGCGCCATTGCACTCCAGCCTGGGTAACAAGAGTAAAACTCCGTCTCAAAAAAAAAAAAAAAAAAAAGACCATCTCTGGAAAACCTTGCAAACAGTACCTGGCACAAGCAAGGAACCAGATGTTTGCTACTATTGTGACTGTATATATACTTTTTATTGTTTTTTTTTTTTTGAGACAGAGTCTCGCCCTGTCACCAGGCTGGAGTGCAATGGCAAGATCTTGGCTCACTGCAACCTCCACCTCCTGGGTTCAAGCAATTCTCCTGCCTCAGTCTCCTGAATAGCTGGGACTACAGGCATGTGTCACCACGCCCAGCCAATTTTTGTATTTTTAGTAGAGATGGGATTTCACCATGTTGGCCAGGATGAGACCATCCTGATTTCCTGACCTCGTGATGTGCCTGCCTCCGCCTTCCAAAATGCTGGATTATAGGCATGAGCCACGGCACCCGGCACTTTTATTTTTTATTTATTTATTTATTTATTTATTTTTTTGAGACGGAGTTTCGCTCTTGTTACCCAGGCTGGAGTGCAATGGCGCGATCTCGGCTCACCGCAACCTCCGCCTCCTGGGCTCAGGCAATTCTCCTGCCTCAGCCTCCTAAGTAGCTGGGATTACAGGCACGCACCACCATGCCCAGCTAACTTTTTGTATTTTTAGTAGAGACGGGGTTTCACCTTGTTGACCAGGATGGTCTCGATCTCTCGACCTCGTGATCCACCCGCCTCGGCCTCCCAAAGTGCTGGGATTACAGGCTTGAGCCACCGCGCCCGGCCCTGGGCACTTTTATTTTTTTAGACAGTCTTTCTCTGTCACCCAGGCTGGAGTAGTAGCATGATCCTGGCTCACTGCAACCTCCGCCTCCTGGGTTCAAGCAGTTCTCTGATTTTAGCCTCTCTAGTAGCTGGGATTACAGGTGTGCACCACCATGCCTGGCAAATGTTTTGTACTTTTTTTTTTTTTTTTTTTTTGAGATGGAGGCTAGCTCTGTCACCCAGGCTGGAGTGCATTTGAGGGTGGCTCACTGCCACCTCCGCCTCCTGGGTTCAAGCAGTTCTCTGCCTCAGTCTCCCAAGTAGCTGGGATTACAGGCACCCACCACCACGCCTGGCTAATTTCTGTATTTTTATTAGAGATAGGGTTTCACCATCTTGGCCAGGCTGAGTCTTGAACTCCTGACCTCGTGATCCACCTGCCTCGACTTCCCAAAGTGCTGGGATTACAGGCATGAGCCACTGTGCCTGGCTATGTTTTGTACTTTTAATAGAGACGGGGTTTCACCATGTTGGCCAAGCTGATCTTGAACTCCTGACTTCAAGTGATGCACCTGCCTTGGCCTTCCTAAGCAGTGAGATTACAGGTGTGAGCCACTGCGCCTGGCCTAAAATACATACATACATACATATACATAAACATATACATATACATATATATATATATATATTTTTTTTTGACAGACTCTCACTTTCAGCAGGCTGGAGGGCAGTGGTGGGATCTCAGCTCACTGCAACCTCTGCCTCCTGGGTTCAAGCAATTCTCCTGCCTCAGCCTCCCAAATAGCTGGGATTACAGGCAAGTGCCACCATGCCCAGCTAATTTTTGTATATTTAGTAAAGACAGGGTTTCACCATGATGGCCAAGATGGTCTTGATCTCTTAACCTTGTGATCCACCTGCCTTGGCTTCAAAAAGTGCTGGGATTATAGGCGTGAGCCATGAGCCACCGCGCCCGCCATATCTATATACACAAACGTATATATATATATGTGTGTATATATATATGTGTATATAGATATATATAGATATATATATATATTTGAAACAGGGTCTGGCTCTGTTGCCCAGGCTGGAGTGCAGTGTCATGATCACGGCTCACTGCAGCCTCAACCTTTCAAGGCTCAGGTGATCTTTCTGAAGTGCTGGGATCACAGGTGTACACCACTGCCTGGCCTTGATTATTTCTGTTATTTCATAGCAAGCATCGCCCATCCCCACCTCCCTGGACCACCTGATGGCTGAATTTAGAACTCTTCTCCCTACATGCATCTTCAATACCCGGGCGCCTGGTTCAGAGTCCAACAGATGACTGTGGTCTGGGCCTTACCTCCTTGCATGTCCCCACCAGCCACTCCTCCCTTCCTGGGGACCCCTATCTCCCATCCGAGCAGCCAAGCAGGCCTCAGGCCACTCACCTCGGGGCTCCTCTTCGCGTCGGGGGCTCTTGGCTGACCGCTGGCCTGCAGGGACACCCAGGTCCAGCAGCAGGTGTGCAGGAGTGGGTGGGGTATTGGGCGTCTTGGGCGAGAAGCGGATGAGTGAGGAAGGGGGCGGCCCTGGTGGGCAAGGCATGGGTGCTGGCGTTGGGGGTGTTATTGGGGGCTCCCCTCGCTCACGGCCAGGGCCTCCTGGTGGCTGTAGGTCTCGGCCAAGGCCCAGCGACGCAAGCAGGGCAGTGCCACGCAGCAGAGCGCGCTGGATCAGCTTGGGTGTCCCAGAACTGCTACTGCGCTCTGCGGAGCTGGGCCTCTTAGGCTCCTCGGGCTCTGGGCTTGGCCTCGGGGGGTTACCTGTGGGCAGAGGCAGCACAGGTGAGGATGTGGCCAGTGCAGCTTCCAGGTGAGGGCCCAGGACCTCTCCGTGGTCTTGGAATAAGGGCTACCAGCATCTTCCCTGGTCCCATAGCCTCCCTGTCACACACACCCACATTCTGGCCTTCTACAAGATGGGAACTGGCAGGGGTAGGCAGTGCGAACAGAGGAAGTGGCAGTAAAGCCCAGTGGCAGCCAGCGGCCTCAGACCCCAAAGATGGATGGGCAGTCCCAGTGGAGGCAGG